CCACTTAGAAAGTCAAGGGAAACAGCAACCACACGCCAGCCATATTCCACATACCACACCTGATGTTTTGCCAGCAAGGCCTCCCACAAGGATGAGCCCGACAACACAGAGAGGGAAAAAGAAAGCTAAAGAGATCACAAGAACTGTCTACGCTCATGTACTTGCTAAACGAGGGATTACAGAATAAAGACAAGTTAGTCCAGCCACAGAGCACAAATTCCACCCATTTCTCACACCTCCAAAGGGAGGTGTGATACTTACTTTTCCCATAAGTGCAACAAAATACTTGACTAAAAGCAACTTTAAAAAAGGAAGGCCTTATTCTGGCTCACAGTTTGAGGAGGGACAGTGTATTATGGCAAGAAGGGAATAGAGGAAGGAATGTGATCTAGTCTCCCTGCTTCTCTAGTAAGGAACTAGACAAAGATGAATGCTGGTATTCTGCTTATTTTCTGTTTTTTATTCAGCCCAGGACCCCAGATGCCCAGGTTCCAACTGAGTCTTCCTACCATCGGTTAAATCTCTGTAAAAATACCCTCCAGGATGCTGTCAAGAGTTTGTCTCCTGGATAATTATAAATCTTGGCAGACTGACAATCAATATTAACTATCACATGAGGCTAAGTGTGGCTTTCTTTTCTTACTTTGCCAGTTCATAATTCTTTTATCCACAGAGTTTTGTTTGCTTATTGTTTTGGTTTGGTTGTCTGTTTAATTCATTCTAAGCGTAGGGGAAACAGAAATCTTTGTGTTCACAGCTGAGATGCCAAAGATGTGGCAAGACAGGCTAATTTGATGTTTGTGAGCAACGTGTATGCACAACGTGAGGTCTCACACTGAAAATGGCAGGTCTCATGTGGACACAGGAGCCTATCAACTAACAGGGCTGTGCCTGCAGGCCACACGGGGCCATAAGAACGTGATCTATGCAAATATGGAAAGGTCACCTCGGAAGATGCTAATTGGTGCAATTAACATGCCTGTGTGGTCATAATAATTTTTTTAATATTAAAAAAATAAAAGGATGGGTCCAGCAAGATGGCTTATTGGGTAAAAGTGCTTGTGGTGCAAGCCTGACTCCCTAAATTCAATTCTCAGAAGGAGAAAACTGACTCTGGCAAGTTGTCCACTGTCCTTCATAAGGGTGTTGTGACACATGTACACACACATGTTCTCACACACAAACATGTAAACACATTAATAGTAACAATAAATTAAGTAAAAATACTAGGATGATCTCAGAATACTAATAACCACAGATCAGTCAGTCAACTAAAAGAATAAATACTTGGAGGCTGAGGAGTTGGCTTAGTGAAGACCACTCGCTCATCAACCATGAAAACCTGATTTCAAATCCCCAGCATCCAGGTAAAAAGTTGGGCATGGCTGCGCTTGCCAGGAGCACCAGCATTGGAGGGGACAATAAGTCAGAAGACCACTTTTAGAAAGCAGACCTCAAAATGCAAAGTACAAGCCAGCATATGAGAATGTTCATGGCAAGGGTACCCTGCCATTACAATGATTTGTGCTTAGGAATGTTTTAATTTCCAAAGCGAACCGAACTGCAAAACTGGAAATACAGACATTACTTTGAGGCAGGGCAAGATTGGAAGAAAGTGACATGATTTACCCAGCAACCACCCTGCAACACTTGCCGGCGTAGACAGTGTGCCAGATTTCAGATGTTCTTAAAAACACTCTGCAGATCCAGAAATGCCTTAAAACAGGATCCCTTGCATATGGGTGCAGATTTAGCCTCACAGCTCTGTTACAATCAAATTCCTAGCTCAAAATTTCACTTTGCAAGCTTTCCTACAAGATTAAAAAAAAAAATAATCTATAAACACATAACGAATCATTGCAGGATTTAATGGCCACATTTATCTGTGAACATAAAAGACTTTTGGATTGAGTAAGAAGGGCCATACCCCTGGGCTCCACTTTTGCCATGCCACTACCCTGAAGCCCTTCTGGAACCAAATGGACCTCCATCTTATGTTGACTTGACCAGAAGCTTCCAAAGCATAGACAGGCTCCTTCTAACTGGGCAGAGGCACGGGCATAGGGAGGAAAATGATGTGCACAGAGCCTGGACGTGGGTTGGGGAGAGGTGGGCAAAGCCACTTGCCATCCAGTCTGAGTCCCAGCGCCTGCGTGTTGGAAGAAGAGTAGGGCGGGACGTGTGGCCAAATGCCTTCAACCAGGTAGGACTGTGCCAGGGAAGGCCACCAAAAGAGAAGACACCGGACGTGGAGAAGATTTTCCCAAGTTCATTCCGGCTCTGAGTTCTGGGGCGGGTGAGGACTCAAAATTTATACTTAGCTTTGCAAGCCATCCTGAGGACACAGTTGTTAGCCTAGGCAGGCGGGGCACACGCATGAGCACGGCTACGGGGCTTAACACACGGAATTGCCAGTACTGAGAGGGAACCTATGTAAGTCCTTTGCTCTCTGCAGAGTTACAGATGTGCCTGGCAGTTAGTTACCTGGTGGTCTTAGAGTTCATGCCACTCACCCGCAAGCCACTCCCACTTATGGGAGCTTGGCCTTGCCTCTCAGCTTTCTGAGTCTGTTTCCTCATTTGTGAAATAATGTCAGCCAGAACGCTTTCAGCTTAGGAGTGATGTGAATAGGAAATGAACTGGTATCTCCAGGTGCCTAAAACAGCACCTAGGACAGAACAAGGGCTCTCCAAGTGTCCACTCCATTACTCTCCAAACAAAATCGACTGGGTCTTGCAAATTTCCACGTACAGCCAGGTCTACATGTTTCTTCTTCCCCATTCCTTTCTAACTTGAAAGGTTTGCGCACTGCAAATGTAAATTGTTTTTCATCTTCAGAAGAACACAGCTCAGCTAACTGCCGGTACAAGTCCTTCTAAAACTAAATGTGTGCTCTCCACAACTCCAGCTCAGCGTGCGACACGGTCCTTTTGCTGCTGTAAACTCTGACCCCTAGCCAGTTGTCTTGCTGTGCCAATAAACATTTGGACAGTATGACCAATTTCCAGATTTAAATATTAAAAGCCTTCATATTAATATGGCTCAAAGCTATAAGTCAAAGTAGGTCCTTCTCATGCAGGAGCCGAAGGCGGACATGCTTGAAATTGTGAGGGAGAAAAAGCACTGAGAAGAGAAACTGCCACTGACGATAGAGCCCCCTTCAGTGAGGAAACAGACAGGGGGAGGCCATCCCTGGCTGTCTCGCACTCCGCGCGTTTCTTTGATAGTTAGCAGAGTTACCTCCTAATCGGTACAGTGCCTGCTAGTTGCTAACACGCCTCTGACTGACGACACGCTGCCCTGCAGGTAGAGCATCTTCTATAATTTCACCATAGACGCTTCTTCCACACTCTGGCTGTTTGTTATGGTGGGAGGCCTAGGGGCCCAAGGAAAAACAACACAAGGAAAAGAGTCAAGGTCGTGTTTACTCTTTGAAATGTGAGTCTAAACTACATGCTCAATGCCATGAACATTTAAAGTTCCACCACCACCACCATCAATTATGCTAAAGTAATTACCAAACGTAAAATACATAATTTTGTCAGGCTAAGCAGGTAGAACTCTTTATGGTTTTCCAAGGTACCTCTAATGAAGCATTGCTAATTTCAACAATAATTTCTCAAACCTTCTCCAAACCCAAAATGGAGTAGAAAAGCCAAGAGGAAATAAAAGAAAATGAATTGTAGTCTAAAAGGCACCACTGAACACACCCATTTATCCAACAAAAAGTCCATCTAAATCAAATACATTGTTTCTTTAAAGAGTTTCACCATCTTCCTATTAATAAAAGCCCATGATCATGCTCAATTTTGCCAGTTTTTACTTATGCAACTGAATGGGCTTTTTACGAGAGCTAGACTAGAAAAGCAATCTTTTTACAAGCTTATTGCTTATACAGTTACCTTCATTATATAGCAATCATTCATCGGTAGTCGGCGTGGAGAATGCTATTGCCTTGTGCAATATGAACACTGTGTTCAAAATAGACCATAAAATAGGTGAAATCAGGATAACTCACATGGGTTGGTAAAGCCAGCAAGTTCATCTGGCTGTCTTCTTTGTCGAAAAGCCTAACAGTTGCAAGAACACCAATCTAGCTTTAACTTTGAAACCACATTCTTAATTATTAATTTCCTCCATGCTTTCACTGTTCCAAACTCCTCTCTGCTAACCTAAGCAGAACACTTCACCGCTAAAGACTCTAGGGAAATCATTTGGCCTTTGTCATTTTTCCTCCCTACATCAGATGTATGTGTGTCAGACCTGTGCATAACCTCAGACCCTGAACTGTGGGGGACCCTGTGCTGTTGAGCGGAGCTTGGGCGCCTGGAGCAGACAGATCTGAGGCACACTGCGCAGCCACCTGCCTAGGCACTCCTGGAGGCTTTCCTTGGGTGCCGGTCGGTGGTCGGCAGGCGGGAGTAACAGAGCTTGGGAAGTCAAGAAGCTGCAACAAACCCCAGAGCAGCTTGGGGGAGAATTGTCGAAGGTGGCTGAAGAAGAGGGGGATTTGGTCTCACGGTTATGACGTGCAATTTAAGGAGCTAAGGGGGGGCGGGCTCTGAGAGCCCCAGAACGTCTTCTCTCCATGGGCATCGCAAGCCGACCCCCCCCCCCTTTTCTTCCTTGCCACAGAAATTGCGGCTGTCTTCGTGAGGGCACCCACTAAGCGCTCTCCTTCCCCAGCCTCTGCTAGGGCGCAGGCCCGGCCAGCCACTCGGAGTCCCACTGGGTGTGGGTAAGGCTGAGCAGACAAGCTCAGAACTCGGGGGAAAGCACCGCGCTGCTGGTTACCAACCCTCTTCCCACGCCCTCGAGGGAGCCCGCAGCTCTCCAAAGTAGCTGGACCCGGGAGAGATCGCGCAGCGACACGCTCCAGGGGCTCGGTCCCCGGGAGCTAGGAGACGCCGCAGCCGGGAGCCAGAGCCACGGAAGGTCCCCGGGTGGGCGCAGAGGGGCGGAGGAGGTCCCGACCCCCGCCCGCGCCAGCTTCTAGGTACCTCGCAGCCGTACAGCTGACCCAGCTGCTCCACGATCCATTCCTCCAGCACCAACCGCTTCCGAAGCTCCTTGCGGTCGTATTTCACCGTCACTTTTCCCTGCTGGTGGCGTCGCTGCTGCTGCTGGCCGGCGGCGGCCACCGTGGCCACCGGCGCCGAGTCCTCCCTGGAGGAGCCCGAGCCGCGGCTGGATCCCGGGCTGCCGCCGGGGCCACCGCGGGGACTCTGGAAGAAGACGCGCGCCCCGCCGCCGCCGGCCCCGCCGGCCGCCTCGCCGCCGCCTGTCACCACCGACATGTCCCCGCGCGCCGGAGCCGGAGAGGGGCCCGGAGAAGGGGCGGGCGAGCGCCCGCGCGGCTACCACCGCGGCCCCGGCAGCCTCATGCGAGAGCCCGCACCTGCTCCGCGCGCCCAGCCGCCCGAGCCTGGCGGAGGGAGGAGGGAGGAGGGCGGGCGCGGAGGGCGGGGACCCAGCCTTACAGACGCCTCCCAGGACCCCCGCGCTCCAGCCCCGGAGACCGCCCCCGGCTGGGAGTCCTCCGAGGGGGAGAACCCGCGCCTGAGAGGAGCTGTGTGGCCCGGGGAGGAGCCTGGCATGGGTCGTCTGGGTGGCGGGGGACAGTCGGTCTTCCACACGGGGTCCTGGGCTCTTGCCCCGCAGAGACGAACTGCGCTTCTCGGTGGTCTTGGGGCGCACGAAATCTGTGGGCTTCCTCAGTGAGGATGCGCTTGTCCCACCGCGCAAAGGTCGTGGGAAATGACCGCTCCCGGGCCTTTCGCCCCTGGTCTCCCAGGAGGGCGGGAGTGTCTCCTCCCCTCTCCTTCGGCCCCACCCTCCTTCGGCTCCAAACACACATTCTTATTCACGCCTTGACCACCACAGATGCCGCTGCCTCTGTTGGATTGGGAAGAAAATTGGTGAGGCGATGTTTGTGCAATCAGGCAATCACCGCGCCCGAGAAATTATTTCCAAGCCGGTTTTTCTTTTTCTTACCAAGCGCCTGTTTCCCCCTAAGCTGGGCACGGAAAGCTTGATTGCCCAGAGGGCGATGGGTTAGAGCCACCACGACCTGAGCATTTCAGCATTTGTGGGACTTAAAATCTCCCGTTGTGTTCTCGGCTCGGCCTCCTTTCCTCCCAGGGCTCCAAACAACCTCTTTTCTAAACCCAGGAAGGCAGCTGCATTGACTAGCTTGTTTGAAAAACATCATGCAACCAAGTAGAATTACGAATGAATGAGCTTATTATAACGTTTAGGGCGAAGAGGTGGGATGGGGAATTATAAGCAGAAAAAAGCATGTGTGTGTATAAAATTACAGGGAGACACTAACATGCTCCTGTTGTACAGAACAGCTCACTTCTGTTCAGGCAACTGAAAGAAACCACACAGACGTGCAGATAGACGTAACCAGCGTTTCAGATTGCTAAACCAAGCTGCGGAAGGTTCCCTGAAGCTCTCAGAGGGAAAGGCGCCATTCAGTGAGCTTCCTTTGAGCGTTTTCTACATTGGAGAGAATGCCTAGGTGGGAGTCTCCAAGGTCAGATGGGAAAAGGAAGAAGCAGCCGGCAGGCCAGGCTCGCCATCATCGCTTCAGTTCTCCCCACGTTCTTAGGTGTCTTTGTTTCTTCAACGTGGGGTTTTCCAGCCAGGAGCTGAGGGGATTTCCCCAGTGTTCCATGCCTGCAGCTCCCTGGGAAGACACCATCAGGCCCTGAGAAGTGCCAGGGAAGGATTGGGTCACAGACAGGGCGTGCCACAACGCGGTGGCAGAGGTAGGCCCAGAACTCCTCTTACCAGAATAGAGTCAACACTAAATCCCTGCAGAAAGAAAGGGCCAGCTGTGTGTTATGTGAGTTTTCCTGCAAACCAATCAGAGATAACACACATGAACGACCACGATGCTGGAGACAGAGGCCATGTGTGCGTCATCCCCCATGACTGTCTAGTCTAAGACTGTCTAAGACTGTCTTAAACCTGAGCAACAGCTGAGAGGTGAGAGTCTTCACAGAGTCAGACTGCAAGGACGAAGTGCGGGGAGCATGGCAGTCAACACACACACACACACACACACACACACACACAGATTGAGAGAGAGAGAGAGAGAGAGAGAGAGAGAGAGAGAGAGAATGAGTTGCCTCCCTCCGGTCAGCTGGTTCCTTGCCAAGTTCTCAGACCCAGCTTTAACAAACAGGCATTAGCCAGACTTGTAATCAAAACAGAAACAACTGAAATGTTAGTGAAGGAGGAGAAACTATACATTTCTGCCCTAGTCTGGTGCTGAAACCCCGCAATGCTAATTATTTTGGAAAGTGTTTCGATCCTGAAGTATGGCGGCAAACAGTGGGAAATTCCCCCTCCCTGCTCTGAAACTTTGGACAATGAAGTCAGTCATTCGAGAGCGGCTTCAAAGAAATCATGAAAATTCACAAAGTTCTCTCTGAAGAATACTAAAGTCAATTCTTTCGCACTGCACAGGATGTTTTGTCCCTGGTGCTTGAAACTTTTTCACTTGCTACTTCAAAAGTGACAAAAGGCGCAGATGTCAGGCAACCAGACCTTGCAGAAAACTCATGAGCTGATTGGCTCTTCACATAGCCCTCCGTTCCCCAACCAGTCACTGTGGCTTGCAAACAGGAATGAACAAACACATGTTTTTCTAACCAGAACATAACTGACCCTGGAGGTGAATGCCACACCCTGTCTCCCCAAATCACAGGCCTCACTCTACACTTGAAAGCACAAACCTCCACATCCAGATCCCTACAGGCACCTCAAATGCATCTTTGTGTATTTCCAAAGGTGAGATGTTTGGAAATGAAATTTTTTCCAGGCCGGTCCTTCTGTTAAGAGGACTAGTTAAACTAGCAGGGTTTAGCCTTAGAGAGTGCTTGCCTCACACCAGCAAGCACCATCTACACACACACACACACATAACACAAATATCAAACTCATCAAAGAGCCGTTCTCATATACATACATACATATATATATATATATATTACATGTATACATACATACATACACACACACAGAGGTGATATTTTTTTATTTTGATGAATCGCAAATGAACAGAGCTCTTCAGCAAAGGCAGTGAAGGGGTTTTAGAATGCAAGAGATGAGCTTTTCCCGTAGGTAAGTGCTTCCTCCTCTGAGATCAGCCTTAGAAAGTGGCAAATGTCAATTTCTTCTCTTCATAGCTTTGTTTTCTTCTTTTGGGTACCCCCCCCCCTTGATATTTGATTTGGGTGAAGGTGTTTTTGTTTTCTGGAGTTATATAGGTCTTTTATCTAAATGTGATCCTTATGCCTGAAGTTAGATGAGATTTTTAATATGTGGTTCTGGATGTCCTTCACCCTGCCAGCGAAACAGATGCTATATTAATGTTTATGCTCAGTCCCAAATTTCCTTAATCCCTGAAGACTAGATAGCATCATAATTACAAGACACCTGGTGATCTCCCTTGGGGATGTTATGATTACAGCCTCAGGCCACAACTTAAACATAGTGTTCTTACCTAGAGTAATAATGCCAATAATAAGATGTTTAAATACTTGGGCTGGCAAGATGGCTCCGTGGGCAAAGACACTTGCTGCTAAGTCCAATGATCTGGGTTCGGTCCCTATAACCCAAGTGATGGAAGGAGAGAACCAGCTTCTGCAAGTTGTCCTCCGACCTCCACACAAGCCATGTGTGCAAATGAGTACATACCGTGCACACACACACACACACACACACTGCATATGGCTTAATTCTCTCAGGGGTGGGATAAGACAAACAGTGGCTTTAAGTCTGGTTTTCACCTTAAACAAGGAAGAAGCCCGGTCTGTGCTTCGGGAGTCTATTCACTGTGCACACTGTTTTCAGTTGTCAGAATAAAACTAGACAGAACCGTGTGGCTTTGCTACCTCAGCCTGGTCTCTCCTTTGATCTCAGTGTTGTTTTTAGTTTCTTCTAACTCCAGGTCTTTGATTCTATAATCTAGTCAAAACTCCAAAACAAATCCAGCTATTACTTGCATTAATTATCAGCAGTCATCAATCACAAGTCTAAAATTTTGTCTCCACAAAAATTCAGTAGGGGGAAGGATTCAGGGAACCGGAGGGGTTAAGGACACCACAAAAAAAACCTACAGAGTAATCTAACCTGGGCCCATGAGGGCTCACAGAGACTCAGGCACCAACCAAAAAGCATGCATGGGATGAACTTCGGGCCCCTACACATATGTAACAGGTGTACAGCTTGTTCTTCATGTGGACCTCCTAACAATTAGAGTGGGGCTGCTCTGACTCTGTGCCTGCCTCTGGACCCCTTTCTCGTAGCTGGGCCGCCGTGTCTGTCCTCAGTGGGGGAGGATCCTTACTTGTCTAGTGACTCTAACTCATACAATATCTTGTCTCTCTGTAAAGCAAGGTTCAAGTTTGTCTCTAGAGGAAGCTTTCCTCCTGTCTAGACCAGGGCTCTTGTCTTCTCCCCTTTCTCTGCAGGAAGACTCATCCTTCCCCCGTGTCTCGTTCTTCTCCCCCTCGGCCCTGCTACCACCCTCCCACTGGAAGTGCCCTCAGCAAGGTCACCAGCCAATTCCAGTCAGAGTCTTTGCTACCATTTCAACATGGTCGTAACTCGACCTCATGCCACATTTGAGGATCTGTATCTCCATGCCTTCTCCTCTGAGCTTCCTGTTCCAGCTCCCTCCTGTTCTCAGCTGCCTGTCTGTTGCTGCCTGGCAGCAGCCTTTGTGAGCCCCTCTTCCCTTAAAAGGGAGTGATTCCCAGCTCTATGCACCACCCATCCCTTGCTCATTGGTCAACCTACACAACAGACAGATTCTTCAAAGATGAGTTTATCTGAAGTAGCAGTGAATGGAAATACATGTAGGCGGACTCAAAGAGATTGATTTAAGGGGGAATTCTAAAAGTGCGATGGGAAATATTGCACAAGCCGTTTTGATGAAACAATCCTCGGGCCCAGGAACCAACAGCAAAGGTCCTAGGCAGGGAGAGGGACAGATCCCGTTGCAGAGATGGGTTTTGGTTAAGGTTGTAGTGGTCCTTGAGCAAGACTGTCATTTTTCATGAACTACCACCTATCTTCCACAGACACCCTACAGCAAGACTGAGTTGGTCTCAGGTGCCAGCTTCAGATGGACAGCCAGACGGTCAGTGCTGGGCAACCATGTTTAAGGTAGATACCTTTATCAAGTCATTAGAGAAAAACAAAAACTGAACAGTGAATGTTTGAGGCCACATATTCTCAGCAATGTAAAAAGTGTCCTAACCCAGTAATTTTTTAACTTATTTTTCACAATAAGCAATATGCTTTCTCTTGACTCAAATATCTGCACACATATACAACTCCTTCTGTTGTATGTGATCCACTGTGACGCTCCGGAGCCTGCGATCTATTCTGCTCCATTAAGGTTCAAGAATGATGGTTACAACCTACTGAGCCAACGTCCCAGCCAACTACTAGGAAGACTTCAGCATGTCCAGCCCTGCTGTGAGCAGAGTGTCCCTGTAAGGTACAGCCCGGCTCTCCTCCCTCGGGATGACACAGTCCAGGTTGGTTATTGATTCACTTAGCATTTTCTTCCACCAATATTAAATTCTAGCAAGCAACTTTGACTCCAAGTAACTGACACAGATCATGTGCAAGATCCTTTGACAGAGGTGCCACCAAAGAACCAAAGAAAGGCGAGGTGTGCATCTCAGTGGTACAGTACTTACTTAGCATAAGTAAATAGGCCCTGGGTTCAAACCCAGGCTCATGTCCAGT